AATGTAAATAGCAAGTAATACATGAATCGTATTGGCCAAGTGTGTAAAGTGAAGTTTGGAGTATTACATAATAGATCTCCTAAAACTTCCAACCACATTTCACAGAAATTGCACACGAAGACAAAAATAACCAAATAGTAGAATAAAGATGCAATATGTTACGGATTCCTACATAGTTGAAGAATATGCTTGCACTATAATTCCCATGCTATCTACACAAGGTGGAACAAGAAACCTGGAACAATGGCAAACTCAAACAATGCAAGAAATTAACATTGAAATATACGAACTACTATATGATAGGAGTTAAAATGGTTGATGAAGGAAAACAACTCAAATGGTATGTCCACTAGTAGTGGCGGTTTGTGGTGGTGACTATTGTTCGGTTTTACAGTGGTAACTGGAATGATGATTTTTGCTTTGGTTTGGGGTTGAAGGGTAAGGATGGGGGTTGGGGGAGGGATATGAGGAAAAAGATGATGATTTTCTTTTTTAATTTTTTCTTTTTTATTAACTTATTTGGGATCATTTGTACTTTAAAAAAAAAAAAATTGGGAGTATGGTTACAATTAGTTATTTATTTTTCTTTAGTTTTATTTAAATAGAAGGATATATTTGTCATTTCACAACTTTTTATTTAGAAATTGGATGAAAATGATGATTTCCACAATGAAAGATGTAAATAGGGGAGAAAATGAAAAAAAAAAAAAAATACAATGTTGGAACGTTTTGCATAACGAACTCCAGGAAGTTTTATGCTAATAATACACCATATTTTAATTGTAGTCAAGCTGTCAATCTTTGTTCATTGTAGCAATTATTTTCGTTAATTTTATTCGTTAAATTCTTATCTTCAGCCTTCTATTAATTAATATATCCCGTCCTTGATGATAATTTATATCAAAATATTTTGTTTTCATGATTTGAAATGAGGAAAAATATTTTTTGCACTTTTTTTTATAAATATGATGGGAAAAAAGTTATTTTTCGCTATTTCGACAGATTTTTTGACATAAAACTGCTATCAATTACAAAATATGTCAACTAATAAAAAGTTTGAGGATAAGAATGACATAAAAAATCATTAGAAACATAAGTGCTATAATCGGCAAAAATTAAGAACCTTAAGTACAATTAAAATACGGTGCAAAATATAAAGTTTTTGGTGTGGATATAATTACCATGGAAACACGATATTCACTAAGAATTAACAAGGTAATTTCGTTTGTACCAAGCACATGATATGTCGAGGAAATTTCAGAAGAATCATGATATAGATTCCAATAACGAAATATTACATATCTTGCAATATTTACGACTCTTTCACGACTTTATTTTGCAGCCAAATTTTAGTGAATATAAAATCTTAAAAAATCGATCTCTAAACTAAAGTTAAAAAAAAAGAAAAAAAAGTTAACAAAAATTTGTAATTAAGATTAAGCCCCCAATTTGATGCACATTTTGGGAGTAAGAATACATTTTTACTGTTGATGTGATGGGAATATGTGATTGAAAAAGAAGGAAAAGTTATTGATGTGATGAAAAATATTATTTTATTGAAAAATGTGTGCTTGAAAATGAGTAAAATAATGATAATGAAAAAAATAATGCGGCTCAAACAGGACTAAATAATTTTCACATTATTTTTCTACACACTTCCTGCTATCTTCTCATGTCTGGTCATTCTTCTTTTTCTTATTGGGTTGATAGGATGTGTGACCTTTCGGATTGATGGCCTAATATATGCCTAATGGACCTTTCGGTTGACGATTTGGGCAAAGTGATTGAGAACATAGATATTTGTGGGAATTGCTGAGCTTTAATGATTGTTATTCTACCATTCATGTCAAGAGCTACTTTGTCCAAAGCTTTGAAGAAAGTTTGTGAGATTTCGTTGGTTGCTTGTGGGTAAAGTAGATCAATTTGGTTACTTAGCCCCTGTTTGAGTCACATTATTTTTGTCATTCTCATTTTTCTACTCATTTTCAATCACACATTTTTCAATAAAATAATATTTTCCATCACATCAATAAATTTTTCATTTTTTCAACCACATATTCCCCATCACATCAACCAAAAAAAATTCATTCTTGAAACAAAAATGTGCACCAAACAGGCGCTTCAAATGCAACAAAAATTCACAAATCTTTCAAGTGCTATATCATATGAAGATTTTCTGTATTCTTAATTTCATTTACCAAATTTAACCCTAATTAAATAAATTCATTCATTTTTTTACTACGGACTATTTTTTTATATATAAATATTGAGATTTAGTAGATATTATTACATATTTAATTATAATCTATACAAAAATCAAATAAAATTTAAAATACTACTAACGATATACAAAAGCATCAATAAAATCAAAATCTATTTCAGTAATTTTGTACACTCAATAATAAAGTACGTTTGTTTGCTAAACATCCAAATGCTGATTTCAGAACGTTTGAAACAACAATTTACAAAGCAATTATCCGATTCTTCCCGTAGCTCATTCGTTCTTCAGCACAACTATAGGCCACAAGTGAGTGGTCGAAAATCTGATGCACAAGTTAACCCATTGTCGATAAATCCACTGGAGAAAACATGAAGCACAACAGAGTTTCAGTGTAATGGCTTTATAAAAACCAAATACCACAATTTTATCAGATTAAGTTACATGTTACGCTGATGCTACTTATAAGGTGCTTAGGCCGAAAATGCTAGCAGTTAAGCCAGATTTTTAAAATTCATTCAACTGCATTATAACTATGAGAATAGTATTCAAGTTTCTGTGAGATGAATTTGATCTAATGTCCCTGCAGGGCCATGACAGTTTGTCGATCATTATGCTACACAATTTAATTCAACTTTTAATGTAAATAATTAGGTGTTAAAAAAAAAAAAAAAAGAAGCTAATTTCAA